ATAATCCCTGGCAGTAATGGAAATACTCTAGTGATCCCAGATCGCAGGAGGAGAGATTCTGGAGAGGTAAAATTGTGATCTCTGATGGCTTTTGTGTTTCTTTATTTTGTTTGGCCTTACTGTCCTCTCATCACCCTCTTAAATACATTAAAAATAAACAAATGCAGTAGATTTTTTCATGTTAGGACTAGGGGTGTGCGATATTGACAAAAAATAATATCTCGATATCAAAATACTCGATAATGTCAAATCGCACATCGTTAAAACAACAATTACGATATGATCGCAGACGATATATATTGCACACCCCTAGTTAGGACATGGAAAAAGACAAGCTGATCTCCAATGTTAAAGTGTTCAACAGGCTGAAGGACCCTGAATCTGAATGATGAGATTATGAGAGTTTCAGAACCCAAGGATTGAACATATGCATGTGTTTATGTACGATATGTGATGTAGTGTTAGCTGTGTTCACTGTTGGAAGTGTATGACTATGTCTGGAGTGAGAGCAACCCTGGTGAAAAAAAAGTACACTTCCATAATCTACTTAAAAGTGCTCTATTTTCGCGCACTGATTTTGTACTTAATATACTAAAAATTCTTCTTTAGTACTTTATAAGATAATCTTAAGAACATCTAAGTGTACTCAATTGTGCTATTTTGGGACATCATGAATATGAACTAAAATGTGCTAAAAATGTATTTAGGTACCACTTGAACCCATCTTTCATACAAAGATGGGTTCAAGTTTACTACAAGTGGTAACTAAATACATTTTTTAATACAGAGATAGTATGTTAAAAGCACATTTTAGTTCATATACATGGTGTCTCAAAATAACACAGTTGAGTACACTTAGATGTTTTTAAGATTAGCTTAAGAAGTGCTAAAGGCTAATTATTAATATATTAAGTACAAAATCAGTGCGTGAAATTAGAGCACTTTAAAGGGATAGTTCGCCCAAAAATGAAAATTAATCCATGATTTACTCACCCTCAGGGCATCTTAGGCGTATCTGACATTCCTCTTTCAGACGTATCCAATTGTAGTTATATTTAAAAATGGCCTGACTCTTCCAAGCTGTATAATGGCAGTGAATGGTGCCCCTGTTTTTGAAGCCGAAAAAAGTGCATCCATCCATCATAAATCTACTCCACACGGCTCTGGGGTGTTAATAAAGGCCCGGAGACGTGTGGAGTATATTTTTTATTTTATTTTCACTTTTTTCGGCTTCAAAAACAGGGGCACCATTCACTGCCATTATACAGTTTGGAAGAGCCAGGCCATTTTTAAATATAACTGTGATTGTGCTCGTCTGAAAGAGGAATGTCAGATACGCCTAAGATGTCCTGAATTACATTATGGAAGTGTACTTTTTTTCATGTGGGAAATCTCATTATTATCTCACTAATTCCAATACAGGTTTTGCTGCAAAAGATGCACGGCTGCATGTGATCTTTTTTTTGATAATGTTTTTCAAAGTATTTCATCTTACATTTTTTTATTTATGAAAGTAATGGAGTAAATCTCTCTCTGTCTCACTCTCTTATTTGTTTGTAGCATTTATTTCCCCTGACATTATCTGTATTTGTGAATTTTATCTGTTGTATGTCTCGATTGCATATGCTTGCAGATGTGACGAAATCATGTCATCATTAACGTTCCATCACACTGCACATTCTGAGTCCCATTCGTTCTCACCCTTTACCCTGAGAAAAGGAAACATGTACAGCAAATGGAGACAAACAGAGAGAGATTAACAGAATACATTGGTTGGTCAGCTTGCTTGGTTTTAAACAACTGGGTTTATTACATGAAATGGATTTAGATGGAGAAGTTGATACTGTAATTTAGTCAGCAGATGGTGTCAACAGATTCAGCCCCCTGTGAAGAGGACACAGAGTCATGTGTTTGATTGTGGGAGGCAGTCTCAGTTGCGTGCTCTCTCGGTGTGTGTGTAGTGGGATGTGCTGTCATGCTTGTCTTTGGGTTATCCGATTGTTTCTGTGTAAATAAACATCATATTAATAATATTGCTCATTTTAATGTAGCGCTCAGATGACAGCAGTTTTTTTAAAATCTATTTGAGAGTGTTTATTTATGTGCTGAACACCTCAGGCTGTTACTCGAGCATATTTTAGTCCATCAAGCAGACAGGATTGGCCTTATTCCATGTTGCTGAACATACACAGCGCTCCCCCAGCCACAGTGCTTTCATCTCTCTTCACTTTCAGTTTTTTTTTTCTATTCTATCTTCCCTCACTCTCCTCATCTCTTTCGTTTCCCTTGTAATTTTCTTTTGCAGTATCTATCTCTCTATCTATCTATCTATCTATCTATCTTTATATTACAGTATATAACAATTTGTCTAAATTAAAAATGTATTTTAAATAGAATGTTGGGATGAGTTAGGTTTTTAATTGCTCTGTGTGTGGATAATAAAATCCACTGTCTTGCTGTGCAGAGAGTTCAGAGTACTGAACTGCAGGTCTAATCAGGTACTGCAGAGATCAGCAGAATATTGAGTCTGGTCCAGCAAAAACACACACACACACACACACACACACACACACACACACTGATCATAGACCAGTTCAGCCACGGTGCTACTCAGCAACTCATTAAGTTGCTGCTGCTGCATCTGCTATTTGAAGTCTTTGTTCAGTGTCTGAATCAAAACCTTGGATTTTATAACAGTGGAAATCTATTCAGTCGGATTCTGTTTCAATCGCTCATCTTCGGTACAGATTTCAAGATAAATTATATTGACTGTTTAATTATTTAGCAGTGCAGTTGATTTATCAATACTATGGGATCCAAGTTGTACAAAATAACTGCAAAATTACTTTCACAAAATTGAATTGTATGAATATTTTTAATTGTATAAAAAGAATCAGTGGCAGACATTTAGATGTTTTTTTGCCCACCCCAGTTGCTATGGTAACAGCAGAGCTAGAGCACTTTCTTTGTTTACTGATTCCAGTTGCTTAGGAAACAGAAGGCATTTTTCAAATATTTGAGTGATTTATTTTATTTTTTTTACAGTTACATTTAAAGCGAACAATTAAGTCTAGTTTGTTTTTTTGTGTGTTAGCTGGACAGTCTGCTAAGTGTGGTTTTGATTTGGATCGAAGCGCTGCTCTGCTGCCTGTGTTTTTATGTTCCTAGTCATGTTGTTGATGCATGTTATTTTAAGGAAAAACGGTTTGTTTCTGTAATCTTTCACATGTAAAAACGTTCTTCATCCTCTAAATCTGTCTATGTTTTTTAAATGCATATTGTATATTTTTTTGCTTTGTCAGACACTAAATTGTGTGTTGCCATAATCATCTTTTTTTAACCTATTAAATGTTTTGTTACCTTTTTAAATATGTATGCTAATTGGAAAGGACTGTGTTGGAATAGTTATTCAGGATACAGTTTCTTTACTAATGCACCAGCATTCCACATTCACAGTTAGATAGCTGTATATTTTTGAGTTTTTAATCTGGAATGATCTTGTAATGGGGCAGACAAGACGTGAGACGTGCAGATCCATGTGCAAGCTTTATTACAAGCAGAGGAGGTCAGAAACACAGGCAGGGTCGAACAATGGCAAACAGGTATATGGCGGGCAAGACACAAGAATAATCCTAGGGCTAGCGTAGGTCAACGAACGGCGAACAGAATCACAAGGGCGAGACTAGAGGGATAAATCCAGGAAAACAGGCAAAGATCAGAAACCAAGAAAACAGACGAGGCAGACTAAGCTAAGGCAGGGTAAACAAAACAGGCTCCGTAGAGTAGCTATCAAAACGATAAGCGCTAAACAATACTCGGCAGCTAGAAAGGAGTGAGATTGAGTGTTAAATAGTGAGTGAGTGATGTGAAACAGCTGTGTGCAATCAGTGCTGTGTGCAATCAGTGCTGTGTGCAATCAGTGTAATGAATGATGGGAAATGTAGTCCGGGGTGATATGCAACAGTGTGTAGTGCGAGAGTCAATGAAAATGGAAAGGGTGACCTCTGATGGCTAGCAGACGAAAGTTCATGGACCGGATACGTAACAGATCTTTATTTCAGTACCACATTAATTTTGAAAGATCATCCAAGATCCAAATCAGCTGACATGTTACTCTCAGTGCAGAACAGAATTGCCTGAGCCTTTAGCATACAGGAGATCATTTTAATGTCTGTTTAGTGGGTTAGGTCCATGCACTGACGTTTGTTGTTATAGCTCTGGCAGGTGAATGCAGAACTGTGCAGATGCAAATGTACAAAAGGCCTGAGCAGGAAAACCAAAACTGTGACAACAATGGCATAAGATTATGTGCAGGCCAGACAGTTCTGTGAATATATGTGCATGAGAGCAGGTCAGGTCCATTCGGCAGTGGTTCAGTACTTTAGTAGGTCACATCAGTTCTGCTTTTGGTTCATGTGGTTATAAGTAGCTCTGTCCTCTATATCTCTGTCTGCAGCTGGTCTCAAGTGGTCTCATCTCTATCTCTCCTTTATATAATCTTTGACTTTAAGTCTTCATTTATCTTCTGAACTCTCTCTTTCCTAATGGTCATAGAAACTGTCATGACGGCTTTAGAAGTGTGTTTAATATAAATTATGAATATTATTATTAGATGCTTTGGTCTTTAATGAAATGTATCATGCCTTTATTATATGTCTTTGTTCATTTACTATAGTATTAGCATACTTTATACAGTATATACTTCAGCATACTCTTGTTTCTTTCTGCAAGTGTGTGTGTCAGATTCTTTACATTACAAACAGTAGTATGTTATATTGTCACACTACCTCATCACATTAAATGTTTAAGTCTGCCAGTGTTACTGTTACTATCTAGGAAAGCTGTTTTGCATTTGAATACAGATGTGTATAAAACTCTTATGTTAGGGTCTTTAGAGTGTGACCGAATAGACAGTTGATATCACTTCAGGTTAAATCGTTAAGTGTATTGTAGGATACATTTTTCCATGTATTGTACTCTGATTGCATAGGCATTGAAAAATGCTGTAGGTCATCCAGGTATTGCATACATATATAAGCAAAAGGGCATCCTGTGTACAGTATACATATACTGCAGAAAGAGTAGTGTGTTAGCATGCTATTCCATATAACTTGATTATTGTAACATAGATGATTGACACCGTTTCATAGCTACAGTTTGTGATTGCCGGAGCGCTATAAAGCCCACAAGAGATCTCTTAGTCTGAAAGCAGAGCTGTGTGCTGGATGTGGGTGGAGTCAGGGATGTGAGTACTATTTTTAGAAGGTCTGTGCTGCCTGTTTTATATGTGAGATTTTTATTTGCAAGTATTAAGATGTGTAAATCCCAAATTAAATTGGGGTAAAACCATGCTGCGGGGGAACAAGTGTCTCTCTTATAGTATCCATGT